AATCCCACTTGATCATGGTGAATTATTTTTTTGATATGTTACTGAATTCTATTGTCTAGAATTTTGTTGAGGATTTTTGCGTCAATGTTTATGAGGGATATTGGCCTGTAATTTTCTTTTTTTGTGGTGTCTTTACCTGGTTTTGGTATCAGGGTTATGCTGGCTTCATAGAACGAACTTGGGAGTATCCCATCCTTTTCTATGCTCTGAAATACCTTTAGTAGTATTGGTGTTAACTTTTCTCTGAAGGTTTGGTAGAATTCTCCAGTGAAGCCATCGGGCCAGGGCTTTTTTTTGTCGGGAGTTTTTTAATTACCTTTTCAATCTCTTCTTTTGTTGTAGGTTTATTTAGCTGTTCTACCTCTGTTTGTGTTAGTTTAGGTAGGTAGTTTCTAGAAATTTTTCCATTTCCTCTAGGTTTTCAAATTTGTTAGAGTACAATTTTTCATAGTATTCTGATTCTTTTAATTTCAGTTGCAGTGTTGTGATATCACCCATCTCATTTCTTATACGGGTTATTTGCTTCCTCTCCTGTTTTTCTTTTGTCAGTTTGGCCAACAGTTTATCAATTTTTTTGATCTTTTCAAAGAACCAGCTTTTGGTCTTGTTAGCTCTTTTAATTGTTTTTCTATTCTCTATTTCATTTAATTCTGCTCTAATTCTTATTATTCCCTTTCTTCTGGTACCTGAAGGCTTCTTTTGCTTTAGCAACTAAGCTTCTTAACCACTACACCACCAGGGTCTCCACGACCCTACAGTGACTCCCAAAAGGGAAGACTGCTTGACAACACCTAAGGGAAGAAAATTTCTCTCCCAAAAGATAAGGGATACCAGAACTTAAGAGACTGCTCAGGGCTTCAGGCAAGGCCTAGCACCACTCAGACAGGACAGGGGGCCTGGTTTGGGAGAGAGAGTTTTGCTTAAGCTGCTTACATCAGCAGTGCCAACCCTGAGACTATCCTAACTTGGGGTTTCCTCAGAGAGAAGTTCCTGGAAGCTTTTGTCAAATAAAAATCTGTGACTAGATTATGCTATCTCAGAATCAGAAATGTTTAAGTGTTGAAACGTCATCTGTTTTTATGCCTCTGTAGTTCTTTTTTTAAATCAATTTTTTTCCCTTTAGTTCAGTAGTTCTCAAACTTTAGTGTGCATCAGAATCACCTGGAGGACTTGTTAAAACAGATTGCTGGGCCCCTCTCCCAGAGTTTCCGATTCAGTAGGTCTGGGGATGAGGCCTGAGAATTTTACCTCTAACAAGTTTTTCAGAATGATAGAGCCTCAGGGTTCATAAAGATGTTAACAATTGTCCTGTGCAGGCACCCTTTTGGTGCCTGATCCCCTGCTATGATAGCTCTGTCAAGCAAATGCCCAGCCCCTGCTTGGGCACCTCCACTACTGGGGATCTCACTTCCTCCTAACACAGTTCATTCCAGCTCTGTGTGGCTCAGTGTGATGCTGATTCAGCTGGCCCAGGGATCACATTTGAGAGCAGCTGCTTTAGTTTATTAGTAAAGCTACTTTTGAAATATTCTAATCTGACTTGGCTGTGAAAAAGCAAGTACAGAAAAGGCAAAGGACATGCCCAAAGGACAGAAGCACTGGGGGTGTGGTGAGGGGTAGGGTGTAGGGTGGGCAGACTTAGTGCTCAGCTCAGTAAAAAACAGTGTCGGGAGAACCTGGATGGGCTGGGAAAGAGAGAATGCTCGGCCAGAAGGGACAAGATGTTCCTGGATGGGAACGATGGGATGCAGAGGGCACAGGGTGTGTCAGACAGGGGAGCCAGACTGGCTAAAGAGACTGGCGAGGGCAGAAGACAAATGGGGTAAAGCTGTCAAAAACCACAGACTCGTGGACTGGGCTGCAGGGGAAGAACTAGGGGAGCATGGAGGCAAGGAGCCTGGAGTGTGGCCCTGTGACAGAATCTAATGATCACATTTCAGCTCAGACTCACTAACTCACTGTTTCCAAAAGCCTCTTTCCACCTCCTCCTGTGGTTGTCCCATCAGTTAAAGTGCCCAGGAGTTGCCCTCTGACAGTAGTGAGGTGAAGCCCCTGCAGCAAGAGAATTGGGTACAGGGCCAAATATTTTTCCTCTAGTATCGGGCCCCACAGTGGCAGGCAGGGCTGCAACGCGTGCAGTCAGGTTGTTTGACCTCTAATATTCCCCACCCCCTAGGCTGCATCACTCCCTCACGGGGGAACTGACTCAGCTGCAGTGCAGAGGGAAGGTTTCTGGCCTGCTTGGCTGCAGCAGTAGGCTGGTGGCTGGGCACCTGGCTGCACTCACTGCTCCTCACAGAATCAGGGAGGCTTCGATGGGTGCTCCCTTTTCTTGACACCAAGAGAGGGGGCATCTCTGTGCAGGACTATATGCTGTTCCTCTTTCCAAATGGCAGGATCAGTGGACAAAACCTCTCCCTGGACCCTGGGCAAACACTACCCACCCAGAATGAGCCGAACTTGTTTTCACTTTTGTACCCTTTGTCCCATTTCTCGTACATGTCTGTCTAGGTAAAAAAAAAAAAAGATTTATTGAGTGCCTACTATGTGACAAGCCCTGTACAGAAATGAGTAAAAGGAATCCCTGCCCTCAAGGAGATCACAATATAGTCAGGGAAACCCATGTATAGAGAGAATTAACAGCATTGTGGGATAAATGCTGTTTCTCAAACATACAGCTCATTCCCCGCACTGGGCCTTCGTATTTGCTGATCCTTCTGACCAGAATGCTCTTCCCTCAGATCTTTGTATGGCTCACTCCCTCTCTTAGCTCAGGTCACTCTTGTAGGAGGCCCTCCCTGACCTTCCTGTCTAAAACAGAACCCTCCCAATACTTTCGGTTCCTTTACCCCAAGTAGTATATATATTAATAGCACCTATAAAGACTGCAGGAGTCTCTGGGTGGCACAAATGGTTAAGACTACTAACCAAAAGGTTGGCAGTTCGAACCCACCCAGAAGTTCCTCAGAAGAAAGGCTTCGCAATCCGCTTCTGAAAGGTCACAGCCTTGAAAACCTTATGGGGCTCAGTTCTACTCGGTAACACATAGGGTTGCCATGATTCAGAGTTGACTGGAGAGCAACTGGTTTGGTGGTTATAACATCCTCACATTATGTATTTAACATTTTTTGGGAGGAAGGCCTTTTCTTAATAGATTGTAAACTCAATGAGGGCAGTGCCTTGTCACTGCTGAATTCTTAGTTCATAGAAATGGCACATAATAAGCACTCAATACATACTTCCCTTTTATTCATAGATCATAAGGATTACCCCATTGAACTTTTCTGAGCCTCTCCAGAGTCATCCAAATGGAGGATGAGGCCTGTCAGCCTGAGGAAGAACTTTTCCAAGAGAGCCTTCCTAAGTTTTCTAGTGCGTGCACTGTCCCTTCAGCCCAGACTGAGCAGGTTCTAAGTTCTCACTAGTAACAACTATAATTTACTGAACATTAACTATGTACTGGGCACTTCAAATATGTTATCTAATTCTCACAACAGACGATGAAATTGAGGCTCAGGGAGAGTGACTTACTCAAAATTACAAAGGAAGCACAGTGCCCAGGTGGGCTTTCTGGGGAAGATCTACCAGGCCCTAGAGTCCATATTAGTTCCATACTCACGTTTCCGCCACGTGCCCCCCACCCCGAGTCCCTCTTCCACGTTTCCACCAGGTCCCACTCATGGCCCTTTCCTATGTTTCCGCTACATCTCCATCCCAGACCTTTCCATTTCACTGGGCACCTGGGTCCGGCCAAGGCCAGTGTCTGGAGGTGCCTCAGATGCGTGCGGGATGGAGAGGGGACTGACCTCCTGGACTCGAGCTTTCCTTCCCCCGCCCTCCCCACAGGGCCGGCTACAGGATACTCAGTGGCTCACTCCATGGCCTGTAGCACTCGCGCGCGCCGAAAACAAGGATGGAGGAAGGGGAGGTTCCAGAAACACTCGCAGGCAACCGAAGGGCAAAAACCACCGGGTGTCCACCACTGCCTAGCGGGCATCTCTCCCGATCCGCAACGTCCGTCCCTCTGGCGGCAGCGCGCAGGCGCGGGGCTCTCCTTGCCCCTCCCTTCTGTGGGCCGCCCTTTCACCCTGGCAACCGCGGCGCGACAACAGCGTGCGGGAGGGCTGGGCGCGGACGGGGAGTGGCCGGGAGGCGCCGGTGCGGACTGAGGTTTAGGCGCCGGCGGTGGAGGCCGAGTGAGAGAGTAGCGATCTCGTTTAGTGGTTTTGGGGTGTCCCACTTCCTTCAGCCTCCTCACACGATTCTTCGGCGCGGTTTCGGGCCCAGCGGGCTCAGCCCCTAACCATGGACTCCCAGAAAGTAAGCGGAGGAAGGGGGCGCGGGGCCACTGAGCCAGCGGATGGTGGGCGGGACTGGGTGGGCAGTGGGCGCGCAGGGCCAGTCGACCGGGGCGCAGGCCTGGCAGGCGGGCCTGGCAGCGGCAGCGGAGGGCAAGGCCGCCCAGCCACTTGGGCTGGGGGCGAAGCGGCGCCCGCCCGGGTACGGGGACCGCGCCCGATGACCCGAGCTAGCCTCTGCCCTGTACTTCTCCCGGACCCTGGCTCCAAATTTCTTAACCCATCACTTTCTGCAGGGCTCTTGGTCCTTTTGGTTCCGGTAGCCTGGTAATCCGCGTACTAGAGAGTGTTTTTCCCTTCTTAGCAGATGAGGAAACCATGGCACAGCCTTGTTCGGGGACTCCTGTTGACGCCGAAGCTGGTGCTCTTTCCTCAACCAAGTTGCCTCTGTTAGCACAATACATGCTCTTTAGATCAGGGACCGAATCTCTTTTGTACATCCCCTCCTCCCCCCGCCGTGATTTGATCATAAGCAGGTTTTGGTGTTTGTTGAATTGAAGGGAAAGGCTCATAGTTGTCAGGGCAGCGTCCCACCCTTTTTGGCCAATTGGTGTTGCTGGTCACAGTTACCTAGTGGTTGTGGTGGAATGTTTTATACTTTCCAAACAACGAAAGGAGATATAGAACTTGCCTTTTGAATTAAGAGAAAAATATTTAGACAAGATAGGTAATGTCTTGACTACAGTTAGAAGTGAGTTATGAATATTCAGTCATAATCCTTTTGTAGAAATCAACCACGCTATTCTCTTTGTTAGATTATAGCCTAATTGAAATATAGGACAGTAGAGGAAGACAAAACACGTGCTATTAGTAATAGAGCTGGCTTTAAAAAACAGAAAAGGGCATATCCAAGAAGCCATTCTATTATTAGATAGAAAGCACTGGAAAGATTTATAAGAACACTCTCTTCTAATAATTTTGTCTGGATTCACCTTGAGCACTGGCAGCGTGTAGGAATAGTTATGTGGCAAGCATTGACTATAATAGCGTTTATTATTTGGAGCCCTAGTGGTGCAGTGGTTAAGTGCTAGGCTGCTAAGCTAACCAAAAGGTTAGCTGCTCCTTGCAAACTCTATGGGCTGTTCTCCTCTGTCCTATAGGGTCACTACGAGTCAGAATTGACTTGACCGCAACGGGTATAATAGTATTTAGCATCAGTGCACATGATTTCATTGTATGCGTGCATCTTGAAATTCCATTGGGTATAAACTCAATTTTTATTTTCATGACTATTAGACATTTAAAAAAAAAACTATGTTTCTGTATTTTGATTATGTACACATTTGAAACATTTTCTGCCTAAATTTGTAAAGTATTTCACAGCTTATTTAACTTTTTAGGTAAAAGTCACGTGATAACCTGAATGAAAATTAGCTGGGATGAAATAGAAGAGCAGAAATTTGGAATCCAGAAACTTGGGTTCCAGGGTGCTGTTTACTAACGCTTGTGATCTTGGGCAAATCACTTAACTGTGATTAATGTATGTCCTCATCCTTGCAGTGGAAGGAAGGATTTTTACAGGGTTATTGTGAAAATCAAATCAGATACTTCATTATGAAAACACTTATAATTTTTTAAAGTTTACAAAGAGTACTGTGTACTGTAAAAGAGTATAATAAAAAAAGTCTTTTCATCTGGATTGTATCTTGTCAGGCATGCATAATCCCCTACCCTAATGAGGAATTAACAGTTGGAGGTTGTGATTCCTCCAAGGTCATGGTACTAGCCATTAGCCTAAGGTTTGAATCTACTTAAATCTCATCCCAAGTGATATATTTGAGTACCTGTACTGTGCAGTGCAGTGTCCCCAAGGTAGCAGAGAATTAGCGTTCTCTACTGGTACTAATGTATCTTATTTGTGATAATTTTGAGCATCAGCTTCTCGATATTAGAAAAAGTGTTGACTTTCACTGGTGGTATCAAATGATCTTTGTAATGGAAAAAAAACTCTTGATTTTGTTTTATAGCTTAATAAGAGTATCTGGTGTTAATGTTCATAACTGATTTAGTGCTCTGAATTTAAGCTTCCTTTTCTCGTATGAATTACTCCACATCAATTACATGCCCCAAATCATACATGATGAACTAAACTGGATATTTCTTTCTTTTTAAATAAAAGCTCTGCCATGACTTTTTGAGATTATTTCCTCTTATAGAATGTTAAATTGAAAATACTAGCCAGGATTGAGGATAATCTGAATATATACCTGTTTGTGAGGAATTCGGATTTGGGCTTTAAATTATTAAAAGGATAACTCTGGAGCCAGGTCTCCAGTCCTGCAATTTTTTATCTGTATGAGTTTGCGTAATTTGCTCTTTGTCTCCATTTTCTCATCTGTGAAAATAAAAATGATAATTTTACTTACCTCAAAGGATTGTGAGGATTGAATTAAATTTTAAAAGCCACATAAGGGTGCCTAACAGACGTAAGTGCTATCTAAGTGTTAGCTGTGGTTATTAGTTTCATAATCCCAACCTCAAAATAACTTTGCCCTGTTGTTGGTAATTTGTAAAACTTCTTTTCTAATCCAGTCTATCCATTTTACGTTTGTCGTTAAGCTTTAAGGTATGTTTCCTGTTTTTATATCTAGTGAATAATTTCAAATGGTGGTGCTAAAGAAGAGTTGTTAAATCCTGACTGAAAGAGGATTGGAAGTTCTGACTCATGTAATCTGACAATAGAGGTTAAGTTAACAGGACAGTCTTACAGAAGCTTGATGGTGACTGGTCAGCAAATGGATTAGCTTGACCAGCTGCTTTTTTGTCTGTGAAAATAACTTGGACTTCAGTGTTGTGTTAGCAACAGATGCTCTGTTTGAGTAGAGTAAGAAAACATAATTGCTGTGGATATGTAAGGCATACTGTTGGATACAGAAAACCACAGTATTATCTCTAGAAATAAACAGAGAGATTCTGTTTATATCGAGTTTCTGGGGCACTTTTGTGAACAGGATGTGTTTTAGATAGGTGGCTTTCTTTGATACTGAGACCTTTTGATTATGTCCTTAAGTGATTTTAAGATAAAATCCCAGAGGTTTCTTTACCAGATGAAATGTACATGTTCAAAGAAAACATTGAAACAAGTAAGACATTTGCACCTTTCTAGAATCTTGGAGCTTGGGATTTGATAGTTTAGGTTAAATTTTTATACAGAAGATCATTCACATTCATGGGGGCTACTGTTTCTAGGAAAAGTACATCCTGTAGAAATAATAGAGGTGGAAAGGAAAGTGGGAAAGGATCCCTGAGGGAAGTCATTAGGAGCATACTTTGTCGCTTGTTTGCTTTTCCACCATTTTCCCTGCATATTCTGTACTTCCTACTTGGAAAGGAGTAATGGCAGACAGGTGATGTTTGACTGTACAAGAGTGAACAAACCTAGACTAGGGAGATTGAACTGAGTAGGGGGAGTTTTAAAGCATGGCAACCTGTTTTAAGGCATGGCAACCTGCAGCAGGTGGCATATTACCTGCATTTGGCTTCCTTCTCTACCCTGTGCCTTCATATTATACCCTAGCAGTTCAAAGACCCCATCATATCCAGATAACCAACCAGTTGTTCCAAGTTCCAAAATTACTCCTTCTCTGTCAAGAATTGGTTTCCTGAGGAAAGGGAAATGAAATTTGAGTATTATTCTCCATCTAGTGTTGTGTTAGACTGCATTAAACCTTCACTACAGCTCTTATTCCTATTGCACAGATGGGAAGATGAAGCTCAGAGAAGTTAAGTGACTTGTTCAAAGTCACACAGGTAGCTAGTGGTAGTCTGAATTCAAACCCAGGTCTGTCTTCACAGCCCAGGCTTTTTTCATTAGCACTCTTCTTGCTGTATCCTTTGCCTCTAGATGGTGATATGATTAAAGCAATTAAAACTGAAGATATTAACAGGGATAAATGCCTATCAAGTAGTGGGCTTTTGTTTTAGAGAAGCTAGTTAAATCTTCTAGTGAAAAAAATAGTTGATAGATGGTGTAGAGCATGATTTAGATTAAAATCTGAGTTTGGTCTCTCTGTGCCTAAGTAAAATCACTATTTTTCTATAGTATATCTCCGTCTCCCCAGCTGTTTTTCTTTTTTAAGGGTGTTAGCTTTCTAAAGTAGAGTTATGAGCAAGAAAGTGTAAGAGAGCACCATACTGACATCATCACTATATTGAAATATAGATATCTTTATATTTTTTCCTCTAAGTTTTATTTATTTTGTTGTTATTGAGGATATACACAGCGAAACAAAACATTTCAACAGTTTCTACATGTCCAGTTTAGTGACACTGATTACATTCTTTGAGTTGTGCAACCATTCTCACCCTCCTTTTCTGAGTTGTTCTTCCCTCATTAACATAAACTCACTGTCCCCTAAGGTGCCCATCCAATCTTTTGAGTTAGTGTTATCAATTTGATCCCATATAGATAGTTATTAAAAGAGCGTAATGCTCAAGGCAGACTTTTTTTTTAACTAGTTAAGCTAAACTATTGTTTGGTTTTTAAGAAGACTTCAGAGGATATTTTTGATTGAAAGTTCAAAGATTATATCAGGTTAATAATTTCAGGAGTTCTTCCACTTCCCCTGGCTCCAGAAAGAGAATTTGTAAAATTCTGTTCTGCGTTTCCCCCCTTTTGATCAGGATTGTTCTATGGAGTCTTTGATCAAAATGTTCAGTAATGGTAGCTGGGCACCATCCAGTTCTTCTGGTTTCATGGCAAAGGAAGCAGTTGTTCATGGAGGCAATTAGCCGCACACTCCATATTCTCTTCCTATTCCTGACTCTCCTTCCTCTGCTGTTTTTGGTGAAGAGACTAATTGTTGTGTCTCATATGGCCGCTTGCAAGCTTTTAAGACATCAGGCACTAGCAACGAACTAGGAGATAGAACAGAAGCACTAAATACATTATTAGGCCAATTGACTGGGATATCCCATGAAACCATGACCCTAAACCTTCAAACCAAGGAACCAAATCCCATG